AGAGAGAGACAGAGCATGAACGGGGAAGGGGCAGAGAGAGAGGGAGACACAGAATCGGAAACAGGCTCCAGGCTCTGAGCCATCAGCCCAGAGCCCGACGCGGGGCTCGAACTCACGGACCGCGAGATCGTGACCTGGCTGAAGTCGGACGCTTAACCGACTGCGCCACCCAGGCGCCCCTAAAAAATATTTTTAAGAAATAAATAAAATAATTCTTTTTTCCATTTTCTGAATGATCTTGGTTTCTTTCAAGTTTTTTCTATTTATTCTGGTCTTTTTCTTGCTGTATACTTTCCTTGAATTATAGAGGCTTCTTAGTTGTCCATTCATATTTTAAACATCTTTATTGAGATATAATTCACGTACCATACCATTTACCCATTTAAAGTTCATAATTTGGGGCTTTAGTATCTTCACAGATATATGCACCTGTCACCACAATCAACTGTGGAACATTTTTATTATCTCCCCCTAACAAAACCCAGTGCTCCTTACCTGTTAGCCCCCTAACCTTCTCCCCATCCCCTCTGCACTAGGCAACCACTGCTTATTCATATTTTAAAAAAAGGGGTTAGAAGGACTGGCTTGTTGCTCTGGGGGTTTCAAAATGGAAGCCAAGAAGAAGACAATGGCTGGGAGGGAGGAAAAGGCTGAGGTTGAGACTGAGTAGGACCCAAGTTCCGGAAAGTCAGGTGCGGGCATCCGGGCCTCAGAGGGCCCCGAGAGGGGCTGGTGTGGCAGGTGAGCAGTCAGACTGCGCCATGTTGGGGAGCCTCACTTCTGTATTCAGGACCCAGAGGAGGACATTCGGCCCCAGGTGATGACACTGTGCCACTAGACCTTAGGTTTCACGAGGGGGGATCACTGCTGGCTTGTTCGCAACTGTACTCAGCGCACAGTAGGTATTACGTATTCATAGAGTAATTCAGTGTTACGTGCATGTAATGCCTTACAATTTGTAAAGCACTTTTGTCTTTGGATCGTTATATCTCATTCGACTAGGCGCATGAGCAAAAGTGGATTCACTGTGGAGCTAATGAGGCTTAAACTGTAGACCCTTCACTTGCATGAGTCCCTTCCAAGACCCCATTCTCAGTTCTGTATTTGTCAACTTGGAATTCTTTGTTTTGTTTCATTTTGTTTTGAGAGAGAGAGAGAGAGAGAGAGAGGGTGTGTGTGTGTGTGGGTGTGTGTGTGCGTGTGCGCACACAAGCTGGGGATAGGGGCAGAGGGAGGGAGAGAGAGAATCTTAAGCAGGCTGCACACTCAGCACAGAGCCCTTCATGGGGCTCAATCCCATGGGATCATGACCTGAGCCAAAATCAAGAGTCTGATGTTCAACTGACGGGAGTCACCCAAGAGCCCCTGAATTCTTTTTCTTAGAGAAGGCCTACAAAACACATTTTGTCAGAAAACCTGAACTTGGGTTTTTCTGGATAGCAGCAGAAGATATCTGTCTATTTCAAACCATAAGAGCCGTGGTTCTAAGAATTGGGTGCCTTGTCTACAGTCACACATAGTAAGTGGCAGAACATTTCATACCTGACTGGTTTCTCCTACTTGTTTTCCCCACCCGTGCAAGAAGATGGTACAACCTCTGATTGACGAGAACACCAGCCGCTGGGAGCAGGGCAGGACCTGGGGTTTCTGCAAACGTCTGTCAGCAAGCGCTGCCCTGGCAGTGACCGTAGGTTGGGGGGTTTCTGTTCCCTCTGAAGCTCGGGCTGCTTCTCTAGCACAAACCACGCGAGAAGGGCCACACACACCCTCACCTGCACATTTAAGTTTTAGTTACGAAATACCTTTGAAAGTATTTTCTCTGAACAAAGAGAAATACTGAATACTCCTTTCCACTTCTGTTTCTGAATGAGACTTTTAATCTCATGTTGTTTCATGGTCTTAAAATAAAATGTACGATCTAAAGGGAATGAAAAAAAAAAAGTCAGAGATCGTATTTTCAACTGCCAGCCCATTCGGCGACTCTCCCAGGTGGGAAAATCAATCATCCCATTGTGTTGCGCCGCTGACTTTCTTCTTTGGAAATTAACTTACCCTCCATGCTTTTCAACTTTGCAATGAGGTATATTTCATGCTTGCCTTTCCCCAGACACAAGTAGATGTGTTCTGAGTGGAAATATGAGCCGGTGGTGCCTGGAGGAGATGTTCTCAGTCTGTTGGAGGACAGAACTCCATTCCCTCGAGATGGACCAGAGATCTCCCGGAGTCTCGGGTCTGCATCTCGGGAGGCTCGCCGGCCCCCAGGCCAGTGTGGAATTTGGCTCTGGGAAGAGTTTCATTTGTACTAGACTTCTTTATTCTGAAGTTATCGGTCACTAGCAATTGAAGGCGACCAAACTCTCTTATTAACATGGAACGATCAGAAGAGCGAGGGTTACAGAGCCTTCCTTCTCTGCTTCCTCCTCTGTGCCCGACCCCCCACAAGACTGGGTGCTGACTACTGCTCGTTTTAGCACTGGGGTACTTGCCGCCCATCTGCCAGCTACTCAGGCCCCCCTCTGGTGACCTTCCCACAACCCAGGAACTGAAGAGGGATGCACTGTAGGTGACCCCTGGGGACCTGCTCCATCGCTTTGACTGGCATCTCTTCTGATTGGTCCGTGACCGTACCATATTGTAGGTTATTAAACAGTTTGAAAAATCACACCTCCTCCTGACACAATTTGATAACTTAGGGGTGTTGAAGTGAAAAAGAGGCTCCTGTCTGACGCCCCAGTTCCTTGGCAGATCAGAAGCCAAGTTGTCCATCCAAGGTCAATTCTTAGGCTCCTCTCAGGGTGCACTCGGCTTCCAGCTTTGCTTCGTTAAGGTGTCACCAACAGTGATAACAATAAAGACACAGAAAGGCGCTGGAGCCGTCCCTAGGTCAGGTCAGATCACTGCTGTGAGCAGGAGCAGTCCCCCAGCCGGAGCGAGTGGATTCCACTTCCTTATATGAACATGCGTGAGCTGAAGAATGTGTGCCACGAGCGAGGCCAGCTCTCATCTGTCAACAGCTTAAAATGTTTAGGACAGTCCGCTGATTGGGAATGTGCGCCGCGGCGAGGTGCTCAGCACCAGATGGGACTTGTAAAGTCTGACTGACTCAGAGCTTTTGCGCCTTAGGTGGCCTTTGGTTGGGCCTGGGGTTAACCTTTGTAAACACAGACTCCTCTCTCAGGAAGATGTCTTGCACGAAAAGAGCATTCCCCGCGGCTGGCCCCCAAAGCCGCAGTTGTGCGCGGCAGTCTAGGGCCAGCTCGGCGTGCGGCAGACCATCCCGGGCTGACTCCTGACTTTGGCTGCCTCCCACCTCTTCCTAAATCTCCCACTTGGGTTTATATCCAGCCCAAATGGTGTCATCCTTGTTTTCTGGCCACAGAAGTATTTAAAACTAACCAAACTGACCAGAATTTGTTTTTGCCTGATGGCATTTTCCCTGAGAGATTGCTGTGAGGGTCACACCCTGCAGTGGGGGGGGGGGGGGGGGGGGG